ATAAAACTGAAGTGTTTTAAGGCAATACTGAACATTTTTTTAAATGATGTATGTGAAAAATGACTGAGAGTTAGGTGTAAAGAGGAAAAGTAGATGCACAGTAGGGGAGGGTGAGGAGGAGGGAGAGACAAGACATGGAAGTGGTAACTGGCTGAGTTACAGAACCTTTTGAAGATGTCTAGTTGTAGGAAAACTAGATACTACGAATGGAAAAGTAGAGTTCTCACTCTTCTTTCACTTCAAATCTTTACTAAGACATATTACTTTTTTGGAATAAGAGTTTCTATTCTGAAATTGATGCATTAGTCAAGTTTCATGTCTAGAAAGATGTAGGGCAGATCTCTAAGCTGGCAAGAAGATTCCAAAATGGAAGAAGCAGAAATTTAGGGGCAGGGTAACCATAAGAATGTCAGTATCCATAGAATTTTTTAAAATGCAAGAAGCTTATTTGTCCTTCAACAGAAATGGAATAAGGGTTCCAGGCAGTCTTACCTAAATTTTAAGAGGTAAGGAAGCTCCAGATGATACATGTCTTACATTTAAATAATAATATAGCAAGATACAAAGAAGATAAAATTTTATCACAGAACACACTTTTATTTATCTTTACCCTTTTCACTCATTCTTGCTCTAGATTTTTGTAAAGAGTACTCTTTACCCATGGGGAATACACAAGGTTATTCTTTAACAGAAAAACAAGGTGTGTCCAATTTCTGAAGGTGCTTGCAATCTGGAGAACAAGACTAATATATATGAAACCAGAGCCAGAAAATAAGGAATTTATCAAATGGGAATGAACTTGAAGTGTTATAAGGATACAGTCAAAGTTCTGTTAGATTTTCACGGCTATGTGTAATTCATCTGTTGTTGTTTAGTCTCTGGGGCTTCCCGATTTTTCAGCAGTAAAGAATCTACCTGTAGTAAAGGAGACACAGGAGATCAGGAGACCCAGGTTTGATTCCTGGGTCAGGAAGTTCTCCTGGAGGAGGAAATGGCAGCCCACTCAGTATTCTTTCTTGGAAAACCCCATGGACAGAGAAGCCTGGTGGGCTACAGTCCACAGGAATACAAAGAATTGGACACGATTGAGCATAAGCATGAAGTTGTTTAGCTACTAGGTCATGTCTGACCCTTTTGGGACCTCATGGACTGTAGCATACCAGGCTCCTCTGTCCATAAGATTTCCTAGGCAAGAATCCTGCAGTGGGTTGCCACTTACTTCTCAGGGGATCTTCCCAACCCAGGGATCAAACCTGTGCCTTGTGCATTGGCAAGCAGATTCTTTACCACTATACCACATGGAAGGCCCTATAAGTAACTCATACCTGCCAGTAATGCTGCTTATTTTTGTGGCCTCTTCCAACAACACAAGATACAACTGTACACACAGACATCACCAAATGGTCAACACTGAAATCACATTGATTATACTATTTGCAGCTGAAAATGGAGAAGCTCTATATAGTCAGCAAAAACAAGACCGGAAGCTGACTGTGGCTCAGATCATGAACTCCCTATTGCAAAAGTCAGATACATTGAAGAAAGTAGGGAAAACCACTAGGCCATTCAGATATGACCTAAATCAAATCATTTATTTGATTTCTATACAGTAGAAACGACAAATAGATTTAAGGGACAGACAGAGTAATAGACAGAGTACCTGAAGAACTATGGACAGAGATTTGTGACATTGTACAGGAGGGCAGTGATCAAAACCATCCCCAAGAAAAAGAAATGCAAAAAGGTAAAGTAGTTTTCTGAGGAGGCCTTACAAATAGCTGAGAAAAAAGAGAAGTGAAAGTAAAGGAGGAAAGGAAAGGTATACCCATCTGAATGCAGAGTTCCAAAGATTAGCACCGGTAGGTAAGAAAGCCTTCCTCAGTGTTCAATGCAAAGAGATAGAGGAAAACAATAGAATGGGAAAGACTAGAGATATCTTCAGAAGATTAGATACCAAAGGAGCATTTCATGCAAATATGGGCACAATAAAGAATAGAAAAAGTATGGACCTATGAGAAGCAGAAGGTATATAGAAGAGGTGGCAAGAGTGCACAGAACTGTACAAAAAAGATCTTCATGACCCAGATAACCACGATGGTGTGACACTCACCTAGAGCCAGACATCCTGGAGTAGGAAGTCAAGTGGGCCTTAGGAAGCATCAGTACGAACAAAGCTAGTGGAGATGATGGAGTTCCAGCAGAGGTAATTCAAATCCTAAAAGATAATGCTGTGAAAGTGCTGCACTTGATACGCCACCAAATTTGGAAAACTCAGCAGTGGTCACACCTTTTCCAGGACTGGAAACTGCACAATTCCTTTCATTTCACATGAGAAAAAGCTCATGATCAAAATCCTTCAAGATAGGCTTCAGCAGTATGTGAAGTGAGAACTTCCAGATGTTCAAGCTGGATTTAGAAAAGGTAGAGGAACCAGAGGTCAAATTGCCAACAACCATTGGGTCATAGAAAAAGCAAGAGAATTCCAGAAAAACATCCACTTTTGCTTCATTGACTGCACTAAAGCCTTTGACTATGTGGACCACAACAAACTGTGGAAAATTCTTCAAGAGATGAGAATCCCAGACCACCTTACCTGCCATCTGAGAAACCTGCCTTCTGTGAAACCTTCTGAGAGACAGTTAGAACTGGACATGGAAAATGGACTGGTTCTAATTTGGGAAAAGAGTACGTCAAGGCTGTGTATCATTACCCTGCTTATTTAACTTATGTACAGAGCACATCATGGGAAAAGCCAGGCTGGATAAAGCACAAGCTGGAATCAAGATTGCCAGGAGAGATATCAATAACCTCAGATAGGCAGATGATACCACCCTTATGGCAGAAAGTGAAGAAGAACTAAAGAGCCTCTTGATGAAGGTGAAAGAGGAGAGAGAAAAATCTGGCTTAAACCTCAACTTTCAATAAAAGAAAATCATGGCATCTGTTCCCATCACTTCATGGCAAATAGATTGGGAACCAATGGAAACACTTTTATTTTCTTGGGCTGCAAAATCACTGCAGGTGGTGACTACAGCCAGGAGATTAAAAGATGCTTGCTCCTTAGAAGAAAATTTGTGACAAACCTAGACAATGTATTAAAAAGCAGAGACATTACTTTGCTGACAAAGATCCATATAGTCAAAGCTAAAGTTTTTCCTGTAGCCGTGTATGGATGTGAGAGTTGGACCGTAAAGAAAGCTGAGAGATGAAGAATTGATGCTTTTGAATTGTTGTGTTGGATAAGGCTCTTGAGAGTCCCTTAGACTGCAAGGAGATCAAACTAGTCAATCCTAAAGGAAATCAACCCTGAACATTCATTGGAAGGATTGATGCTGCAGCTAAAGCTCCAAATACTTTGACCACTTGATGTGAAAAGCTGACTCATTGGAAAAGACCCTGATGCTGGGAAAGATATAAGGCAGGAGAAGAGGGGGGCAACAGAGGATGAGATGGTTAGATAGTATCACCGACTCGATGGACATGGGTTTGAAATAGCTCTGGGAGATGGTGAAGGATAGGATAGCCTGGTGTTCTGCAGTCCATGTGGTTGCAAAATCTCAGACATGACTGAGTGCCTAAACAACAACAATAATTTTGCAGACCAAATCAAAGCCCTGTTTTTGAGTAATAATCTGGATTCCATGGGGCTGGGTAAAAGTGGGGTTGGGATAGACAGTCAGGCAGAAGGGGGCAAGTTACTTTCCTTGCATATCTTTCTGACCTATACATGTCTTTGATACTGTTTTTCATTATTTTCTATAGCTTTATATAATACATGTATAAACCTTTGTTTTTCAGAGTGTTATATAGTTTGTGTCAATTATCTTATCCTTAAATAATGATTCCAGAGAGTTCCTATTTCCTAGATGAAAAATTAGGCCGTGATAGATCCTTTAAAATTATTTAGTATAAAACCCCTTCTCTACACTTTTGTTACTGAATCCTAATCTCAAGTGATATTTTTGGATGTCCCAAGATTTTAAGGGTAAATCAAACCATGTCTTTCCACAGGTAGTTTACTTCCTTGTGTGGTAACCTTGCGTGCAAAGGTGGCAAGCTGATTCAGTCCAAGTTGAAGGGAGTCACCAAGAGACGTGCCAGTGATTTCATAAGAGACTTGATATCTGTATTCACATCTCTCGTGAAAGTCCTAAGTTGTTATTGAAATCTTCATACTTATTTCACATTTTATATGTGTATATTCCCTTGTGAAAGGTTTTAGCTCTTTCTTTAACCAACATAGCATTACCTGTGCAGATAGTAGATGAGCATTTTATTTTACATTCTATGTATTTTCATTCTCAAGCAATAGCTCAAAGAGGAAAAGTATTCCTTTTATCAGATAATGTTTTTAGTTGACAGTGCTCTAAAACAAGTAACTTTTTAATATTTTTACCACAGTGTAAATCAGTTAAATTCACTTGGTATGGTTAAATCATAATATAAATGAATGATAAATATGCTGAAATATTCCTGAATGGAGTTGTGCCAAAAAGTATTGTTAGGATCATTATCAGTAGGCATAAAAATGGATGCTGTTATGAACTTTATTTTAAACATTGTTAAAACCTTGGTGGGATGATATTATGGAAAGATTCTTAGTTGAAGCATCGGCATGCACAGAACAAGTCTGGATCAAGGAGTAAATGAGAGGAATGAAAAAGGTATGGGTAAAAGACTAACTTAACTACTGGCCATTTCTATTTTCAGTCTCCCCGTGACTATATTTTGATTTCTTCATATGGTGCTGAAGGCTTAATTCCACTTCCCTTTTAGTCATATACTACTGACTTCCCGGGTTTATTTTCATTCACTTCTAAATATTCACCCTGCTGAAGCTCTAGGTGTTTCTGTGTCAGGAGGAGAAATACCTTATTACCCTCTTGTCTGTTTCACATTTAAAGTTTTTTCCTCCCCGCCCTCCCTGTCTTGTACCTAATGAGCAAATTATCTAAAAATAGATACGTTCATCATTCTACAAAATGTTGTATCTTCTCTAGATCGGGGGCCAGTGTAATTGTAAGAGACATGTGTCTGGCAGACAGTGCAATCAGTGCCAGAACGGATTCTACAACCTCCAGGAGTGGGATCCTGATGGCTGCAGTCCGTGCAACTGTGATACCTCCGGGACAGTGGATGGAGACATTACCTGTCACCCAAATTCAGGCCAGTGCAAGTGCAAAGCAAATGTTATTGGTATGTAATGCAGAAGTTTGCAGTCACATCTCTATTGCCATCTGGAATAAAATCCTCTATTTGATTTCTTTGCTGAAGAGTAAAGCGAATTTCCTTGTTCAAGGCAGGCTGGGGGAAAAAAAAACAATTTGGATGAAATTAACTGTCTAAAAATGACTAAATTAATAATTCTCTCAAACTACAGCTTGAAGCTTAGTTTAATCAATCCTTTAGAAGTTTCTTTATTCCGTAGATGCAATAGTTCACATGGTCCCATACTAATAAGTCATAGAAAAATATAATTTGCTTACTTCATAGATGTTTCTTTTAGAGAATTAGCACTTTTCAAAATGTTTTACACTTAATGAGTTCTAAGCAAATCATTTCCATGCTCGTTTTCTTAATAGACTAAAATAAATGGAGTTTTTTCAAAATGTTCTGTGCTACAGGGTCCTTTGTGATAAATCTTTCCATTTTTTTCTATTATATTTCTTTGAACTGTTCCTATGAAATGCAAAATAAGTCAACATAATTCCACAGATCATGTATATTGCTAGGGTTAGTTATAAAGGGCCACATAATTTTAATTTTGTAATTCAGCACCAAGCTGATTATAATAAACAGCTACCCTTGGTGTTATTTATCATTTTTTTTATACAAGACGTGCTTTTTTGTTTGTTACTCCCACAGGTATTTTTCAGAAATTAGATTTGATTATAGCAATTTATTACATCCAACATTTTTGAGGGGAACCACAGCCACGTAAGGACAAAATTTATCAAGTGCCCAAAATGCACTATGTACATAATGCACTTTGAAATTTTGATATATGAGAATATTATGAGAGGAAAGTTTCCTGATAAAGTAAGTCTTGTATTGTAACTGAACATGTCTTGGTTTGTATAGGAAGTTTAAAAAAGACCTTTACCTTTCTATTGTCATTCAAGACACCAAGTCTTCCATGGTTTTTCTTACACTGACCTGAACCTCATGATAATAAAAACATACCTGGCAGACACACAAACACACACATGCCTGCAAACATACATATATACAAACATGTGAACATATCATTTGAGTAGCATTTTCATTTCTATAACACTAAAGCAAATTCTTTACCTTTTATATGTGTGAGTATACATTTGTCATTTTGTACAATACAACTAGACAAGCATTTTAATTTAATACAAAAGAACATGGGCCTGCTTTATATTATACAAGGTTTCTCTGGTTTAAAGAAAGATTAAATCAGAATCTTTATCATAACTTGTCGTTATGCATATCAAGCATACAAAAACTAACTTTTCAGGAAAAAAAAGAGTAACTTATAAATAGAAGCATGCTTCTGTATAAGTGCTATCTGTGATAGTGAATGAAGTTTTTCATGTTCAATCTATATAGAATCCTGTGTTCTTTGATATAAGATATAGTTAAATTCAAGACGTGCAAACAAAATTTAGAGACCTTTAGGGACAATCAAATGGTTACATCTCTATCAGTAAAATCTTTCCTGTGATAGTTTCCAGAGCTTAAGGAAGAACAAAAACATCACACTTGGAATTTGTTACAAACTTGCTGTCATTTACCTGTATTATTGGATGATCTTAGTAGCAGGAAAATATAAATATGTATTTTGAAGATGAAGCCATCAGTTTGATATTATTAACTCTGGAGTTACTTCTGCATATGCATTTTTTAAATAAAAATGTAAACTGGATATGTCTATATGTTTTTGTTTTCCTAATGGGACTACAAGTAACTGTATTCAATTTTGCCTTGTTCGTATGATTAAGGAAACAACAGAAAATACAAGTGTATGTTGTATGTGCTTCAGAAAGCAAACTGTTAGATTTCACAAAACTGTTAAATCTTACTAATGATTCTATCACCAGTAAAATACATTAGCACCAATAATTTTATTAAAGTAGGTCATTCATCTAGAATAAAAAGGGAGAAGAATGTGAATTAAATGCCAAGTGTGCTAACTCGCCTGTACTTGTTAACACTGAATGTGATGCCCTGTAGGCCTTCCTGAGTATCGTTAGGAATAGATTACCTGTCAGGAATATGTATGGCATATTCAAATAAGCACTGCGCATATTTTTAAAACTGATATGATATGAATCCATGTAGACCAATTTTAATAGTTCAAAATGAGTCATAATTCTTGTTAACAATACAGTTATTTTTAAAATTTGCAGCAATAGGGGTCCTTTTTTATTTTCCTTATTGAAATTAAATGATATGCCTTAGGTGAGTCATTCATCACTGTTAAAGAATTTGCCTTCCATTGGAGTTCTTGAATTTTTATCCATATATATACTTATATTTTATGCATTTCCTTCTGGTTTAGGAAATGTTTTTCTGCATATGGGCTCCTGACTGTGTTTTTACTGTTATTTTAAGACTAATTGTTTCATGTTGTTATAGCTTGAAATGTTTCAGTTGATTCAGTCTCACGTAGTCAGTTATTTAAATTCATGCATACATGAAAACTAGCTAAAGAAAGCATTTTGCATCTCAACATTTACTACTCAAGAATATTTTTTATTCCTTTGCCTTGTAGTACTCTTTTTTGAAACTCAACAAAGTTGTCAGATTTAAGTATAGGTGATAAAACATTTTCTCTGTTTGTGAAATGTATATATATATGTACTCCTTTAAGTAGAAGTAATACAAACAGCAGAATTTACTTAGTGTTTAAGGAGGTAAGTTCTTAATCACACAGTATGACAAGTAATGTGATTGCTTTATGAGCCAAGGAGAGCATAATTTATACTAATTGAAAATGATAAAATATAGGAGTGTATAAAAGCATTGAAATAAAATTGCTCTGGATAACTTTTATTTATATTAATTATTTAAATGTGTGATATTCAGAAGTAAGTGTACTGTTTCATCAAAATACTTATCAGGTTAACATTTATTAAACATTTTGAATGGATTCTGATTTCTAGGAAAATAACATATGCAGTAGTGCATAATTTTTCTGTATGGCTTTGAAAATGTATTTCACTCTAGACTATTAAATGAACATACTTTGTTAATATAAAATAAGAATGATAATTTAATATAGTTAAATATTTTCAAAATAATAGTTTTGATGTTTGTTATAGGAAAAGAGTTCCAGTATGTGTAACAGAAGCAACATTTGCATTAAGAATTTTTCTTTGTATTAAGTAAAAATAAATAAAATCTTATAAAGCACATTGCAAGATTAATGTGGTACGTGGGTACCAAATTAAGTATTGCCATCATATTTTGACTATACTATCAGCCCTCTTTGGCATTACTTGTGAAAAAAACACTCAACGTTTTATTGTATTAAATGTATTAATGTCTGTATTAAATGTCTGTAGCAGCATTGTTTGCCCTTTGGCTATCTTGAAAACTTGAATGGAGTTGTTTTCAGGTCTCTACCTTTTTAAACACATTTTTCTTTTTAGGGCTCAGATGTGATCACTGCAATTTTGGGTTCAAATTTCTCCAAAGTTTTAATGACGATGGCTGTGAGCCCTGCCAGTGTAACCCCCACGGCTCAGTGAACAGACTCTGCAATCCTCTTTCTGGGCAGTGTGAGTGCAAAAAGGAAGCCAAAGGACTTCAGTGCGACACCTGCAGGGAACACTTCTACGGACTGGACGCCGCCGGTTGTAAGGCCTGTGACTGTGACATGGCGGGGTCCCGCTCTGGGACGGTCTGTGATGCTTGGACGGGACAGTGCGTCTGCAAGTCCAATGTTGGGGGAAGACGCTGCAGTGAGTGTGTGGAGGGGTACTTCTACCAGCTGCAAAACCACTCTTTCCTCTGTCTGCCTTGTAACTGCGATAGGACCGGGACTGTAAATGGCTCTCTGCTCTGTGACAAATCGACAGGACAGTGTCCCTGCAAATTAGGAGTAACAGGTCTTCACTGTAATCAGTGTGAGCCTCACAGGTACCATCTGACCGTTGGCAGTTTTCAAGGCTGCCAGATGTGTGAGTGTGACCCCCTGGGGACATTACCTGGGGCCATTTGTGACCCACGCAGCGGCCAGTGCCCATGTCTGCCTAATCGTCAAGGAAGAAGGTGTAATCAGTGTCAACCAGGTAAGAGAAATGTGTTACATTTTCAGTACAAGACGACTTACTTTTTCTTCTGCATCAGGTGATTCCTCTTTGCTTCTCAGTTAGGACTTTGAAAAAAAAAATAATCTCCAATACCACTGTTGCATTCACATCATTATCTAATAGAGATATAACTATTTGGTCTATTAAAGATTATGTGGCATATCTGTGTTTCTATACTGGGGTGACCATTTAGATAAATGCCACATTCAGACACTTAATAATTGAGACTTTTATTTCATTTCTCAACTTGAATTAAATCCCCTATTAGCAACTAAATAAAAGCTAAGAAAAGTAAGAATATATTTTATATTCCAGACAAAGGAAACTTGAGTTGATTATCTGCGCAATGCTAGATATTCAGATGATGAACTTTCTCAATAAATGTTAAGTGTTTTTAATGAATGAGCTGTATGTTCTGGCATCATATAGAAACATCTAAAATTACTTTTTTAAGAAAATTTTAAGGCTTTATTTACATTTTCCCTGGTGACTCACTGGTAAAGAATCTGCCTGCAGTGTGGGAGACCTGGGTTCAATCCCTGGATTGGGAAGATGCCCTGGAGATGGGAATGGCTACCCACTCCAGTATTCTGGCCTAGAGAAGTCCATGGACTGGATAGTCCTCAAGGTCACAAAGAGTCAGACTTTCGCTTTCACTTTCATTTACATTTTTATTAAAAAAAAAATTTGGGGGGGGCTCTTTTGGTGCCTCAGTGGTAAAGAACCTGCCTGCCAATGTAGGAGACATGGGTTTGATCACTGGATCAGGAAGATCCCTTGGAGAAAGAAGTGCAACCCACTCTAGTATTCTTGCCAGGGAAATCCCATGGAAGAAGGAGCCTGGCAGGGTCCAGTCTATGAAGTCGCGAAAGAGTCCAGCACGACTTAGTGATTAAACAACAAAAAAAGTTGATTTACAGTGTGGTGTTAGTTTCTGCTATACTGCAAAGTGAATCAGTTAGTTATATGTATACATCCATTCTTTTTTAGATTCTTTTCCCACAGATGTAGAAAACAAGCCTGTGGTTACCCATTGAGTAAGGGGGAGGATAAATTGGGAGATCAGGATTGGCATATGCACACTCCTATATATAAAATAGATACCTAACGAGGACCTATTTTATAGCACAGGGAACTCTACTCAATACTCTGTAGAATTATTTTTAAAAGCCATTAAATTAATAAAATAGGCTACTATTTAGTCCTACTGTATCCATTTTCCAGATTCCCCAACTGGAAGAAAAATGAACCCTTCCATGGCTTTCTCCTTGACTTTATATGATTTAATGATTTAATTAAAGCAATATACTTTCTTTATAGTACATTCATCCTGATGTGATAAATATAAATATTTATCAGTTGTTTAACAGCTGTACTAATCATTGTCCTGTCTAGCAAAATCAACTGAGTTATCTGAACCTGTGAAAATGAGGGTGATATAAATTTAAAAGGGTGATTTGCCTGCCAGAGAGGATAAGACTAAAGTCTTATTTTACATAACAAGGAATTCAGCTCAGGAGAATTGAACAAAACCTCTCCCTTGACATTGGTCAGTGTGACAAGTAAACCCAAAGAGACAGAAAAGAATTGATGAATAGTTAATTTCCTTTAAGATAAAATACCAGAAAAAAATTCAAACTGGCTCAACATAATTGGAGGCTTTATTATCACTGAATGTTCCATGAAACCTTATATGGAGCAAATGCAGTCAGGACTTAAAAACTAGAAAACTCCCATTGATATAGATTCATTCATTCATTGATTTATTCCCACCCTCTGTCTTTTTCTGCAGATGGGCACCTTTTGATTCTCTTACCCTCTCTGTGGGATTGTATGGTCACTGCTGTCCCCCAAGTTTGCTTACAGTTCTAATTCCAGCTACACAGAGAGACATTAGCTGCTTCTTGGTTACAATTTCAGGAGGGAGATTCTAATTGACTCAGTTTTGTTAGGGTGGCCATGTCTGTGGCAGTTCACTGTGACCAATGTCAGGATCACCTAAAATAAGCATGGCTTCTAGGAATCACTGCTTCAGGTAGGAGCAAGGTGGTAAGTATCCCAGGAAACAGAAAGATAATTGAGAGTTGAGCAGATAACCTACCTGACAGCTACAGCATATTATGACTTTCAGCTTCAGATTTATCCTTCCAAATGTGCAATCATTTTTTCATATTCTAAGTTTTTTTTCTTTTTCTTTTTTTTTTTTTTTACTATTTGTTAATACCTCAGTTCTGGAAATAATGTAATCCATTTCTGCACAAATAGCCATGATTTATATATCCTTCTTTGTAAGTAAGCCAGCAAAAGTTAATAGAGCAAATGTAATATGCTTTTGAGTTGTTATCCATTGTTAAAGTTTATTTAGTGTTTCATTCTGACCTAGAATATAGCTATGCAATAGAACTAGAGATCAATGGACTCAAATCACAACAGGAGGGTCAGGGCTTCAGATCCTCCTGTGGACTAATACATTGAGTAGAAAAAAAGAAACTGATAGATTCCTTGGATAAAGTTCTGTTGGAGAGTTTTAGTGCCTAGACAAGTCTAAGAGATTCTTAGAAAATTAAGCAGAGGCAGATTTTTCAAGAAAAGAAATATAATCAATCATATTATAGGGTATAACTGTGAAATAGATTTATACAGTCATAATAAAATAATCTGTGAATACTGATTTAAGCAACTAATGGGATTATTGAGGAGGAGGTATAAAGAGCTAAATATTCATTTTCTAAAGTGGAAAGACAGTAGTATAAATGTTAGAAGTTGAGATGTAACAGTATATGTATGTTACTCAGAAACAGAGAAATGAAAGTCAGAAGAAACAGCTATAGGCGGTTGAAGGTGGTTACTGGAGGCAGGGAAATTTCTGGGAGAAGGATGGAGAAGCAAGATGCCACTTTACATTGTGAGTCTTTAAATTCTATTTGATTTAAAAAACTGTATGTAAATGTTGATAAAAATTAAATTACAGTATTGGAAAATCATGCTCAATCCTCATGGTCTCCTGACCACTTTCTTTGGGGGATTTATCTGGTATAGTGTTGTTTTTTAGGAGAATAGTTTCTTAAACTATTTGCATAAGTAGAGATGTCACAAAACTCTTCTGCAAAGGTATATGGCAAACTGCCCTCCCTTTTAAGGAGGATACAGAATGATGATCATCACTATTAATGAAAATCATTATCATATTTAAAGTAAACTTGTAGTTTATTTACTTGTACAGTTGCCTTATTTCCCTTGTTCGAGTTCAACATCTTGAGAGTAAAGGTTATATTATTCAACTTACATAGCCATAATATCATGCTGTGTGTGCCTAGTCACTCAGTCGTGTCCGACTCTTTGTGACCCCATGGACTGTAGCCCACCAGGCAAGAATACTGGAGTGGGTTGCCATGCCCTCCACCAGGGGATCTTCCCAACCCAGGGATCAAACCCAGGTCTTCTGCACTGCAGGCGAATTCTTTACCATCTGAGCCACCAGGGAAGCCATAATATTAATATATTGTATATTGCATGCACTCAGTAAGTGGTTTGTTATTTGCAACGAGAAATAATCAGGAGTTTTAACAAGAGCATCTGTATGATGTAGGGTTCTCCAGAGAAACAGAAGCAATAGAAGATGTACGTGTGTGTATGTGTTTGTGTATTTTTTCCCCACTGAATATATCATTCCATGGAAGGATCTGAACTCCTGACCTATTGTTCTGAGTTCAGCCTATCTACCTGTAGTTCTGTTGCACAGCTCTATCCTAGTAGTTTTGCAGCTTACTGAAGATTTCCTTCACATGTCTCCTATATTGGATACCTGGCATCCTGAAGCCGATTTTCTTTTTGGTTTATTTGTGTATTTGGTAGAATAAATGCTTCAGTAGCTTCTGAGTAAGAGTACAGGGAGAAAAGTGGTTTGTTTATTTATTTTTTAAAAGAATTTTGAACATCTGAAATTATCTGTATTCTGTACTCAGAGCTATTTGAAAATTTACCATTATATAGAATCATTTTTACTCAAGAAATCTATTTCACCATTATCTTCTAGCAGTACCAACCTGATTCTTGCTTCTTTCTTATTTTTCTTTTTTTTTTAACAGAAGTTTTACTATTTCTATATCCTTCATTTCAGAAAATTTCATGATGAGATGCTTTTTGTTAAATAATTTTTTTGGGAATTCATTGAGGCCTTTTTTCTGTAGATTAATGTTCTTATGTTCTGGGAAAATCTATAAAACACCTTCATAGAAACATCTAGACCAGTGTTTGGCTGAACAACTGGACATCAAATCTCTCCAAGTGGACCATAAAATTAACCATCACAGACACCAGTTCATATCATGCCTGTGTTAAATGTAACACCTCATCCATGTACCTGTTGAGTACAAACCCTCTCTGGTTTCACTTCTAAAGAGAAAACTCATTGTCTTCTCTTGCAACATTAGAGGGAGAACCTTCTGTTTGGGGAAAGTCACACCTGCCTTCAGAATTCTCTGAAGCCTTCAATTTCATTTTTTTTCCCCCCCAGAGTTATGCAAACTTGCATCAGATAGCTTATTACTGTCTTGTCTACCTCAGGTGCTTGGCTTTTACTTGTAGATATCTGTCCTTGACTGCCATTTCCTCTTCTGTTCTTTTTTAATTTCCTTTTATTTAATTTTTTTGACTTTAGAAGGAAAATGGTTCAATCAACCATGCTTAACTGACAATGTTAACCACAGTATTTTCTGGGTTGTAATCTTTTCAGATCAAATCCTTGCAGCCATCCTTGGTGGTTTTCCTACAACTCTTATCTCTTCTATCAAAATCAGTCTTGTTGGTTTCACCTTTGGATATATCCAGTATTTTACTACTTCTTATCACACTCAATTATCCATCTGAGTCCACGCCATGGTCATTTTCCTCCTGGACTATCCTAGTAGCTGCCTGAAGTCCCTGTTTCTCCTGTTTATCCTTCTCCAGTCACTCCCCAACATACAGCCAAAGTGATG